ACAAGCCAAAACACTGTCAACTGGGAATTATCGCCACACACTTATCGCCGTTACGCTGATAAAACATGTTGATAACAGTAGTCACACGCAGGTGATAAGTTGAAATATCACATTATGAAATATTTATCAGTAAGTGTATGCATTATATATGTTTTGAGTCGTTTGATAAAGAACTGCGTAAGAAACCCACTTTAAACTGTAAGGTAAAATTTGCTTCTACCAGAGGCAACAAATTACACGATTCTGAATCACTTGTTTCGACCTGCATTTTATAATTTACAACCCCGTACGGTAAGCATTATTTACTCAATTTGACCATCATGATCATCATGATCATCGTCTATATCATCATCATTATCATCATTACCATCATTCCTACCAACATCAACATCTCCCTGTGTGTGTTCCGAGGGCCATGTTATAGGGAAAACAAGAATGAATCCACTGCTTAAACAAAAGAGTGTCGTAAGAGTCGACTAATTTGGAGCTTCCTTCGAAGTCGGAGTGCATCTGTCTGAGAGGCAAGGAACCAGCAGTCTGCTTGCAAATGAGTCAGGTCTGTAAAACGGATGCACACGCAACACTCATGTTTTGGAAAGGACTGCTGTCAAGAAGTTGATGAACAGCCAGAACTTTCCGCAGGAGTTAACAATTTGGAGCTTCCTTCGAAGTCGGAGTGCATCTGTCTGAGAGGCAAGGAACCAGCAGTCTGCTTGCAAATGAGTCAGGTCTGTAAAACGGATGCACACGCAACACTCATGTTTTGGAAAGGACTGCTGTCAAGAAGTTGATGAACAGCCAGAACTTTCCGCAGGAGTTAACAACTGGAGAATGCGAAGAAGAAAAACATCACCATCATCCGTATCATTCCCATCATCATTATGTTGCGCGTCATTATGTTTCACAAAGGACTCGCACTTTATCCCTCCTTTCCAGTTATCTGTACCAATCATTTCCATATCATTGGTGGAATCCAGGCCAGCAAATCTGGCTTCTCTCATCAAAGTTCGTTTCAGGGCTCCTCTTGTAAACCCTCATTTCCATATCCAGTTATTTCCAATTTCAGTGCCTGTTTGGGGATTATCTGCTAGCTTGTTCTCATCATAGGGAATCAGCGTGGCGGAGTGGCTAGACGCTCGCCAAGGATCGGAAGGTCGTGGGTTCGCTCCCTGGCGAAGGCGGACTTTTTTCAAAAATGACCTTGGCTCCCAGGTCGACTCAGCCGTGACTGGGTACCGAGAAGTCCTAAGAAGTAAAGGCGGCCGGCGTAATGCTGACAACATTTTCCATCTTGTACCGACTGGTCTATAAAATATAGGTCTAGCCCTATATGCCCTATAAGCCTACAGGCGTGGAAAAGGGTCCTTTACTTTACATCTTCTCATGTTGTTTAGGACTGCGCCATCTTTGTTGTCAAGTCTTTTTTTTTAAAACCAGTACTTGGGTTTCGAATACAAGATCTTAGGGTTTGACAGACGAGCGTCTACTGCCTTCCGCTGGCTTGAGAATCAGCAGTACACACCTGCCGTGATTGTAACTGACTCACAGAGCATGCTGAGAAAGTTGGAGACAGGTATGCTCTGTGCAGAGTGGCAAGCATTACTTCAGAGGTCCCGGGTAGTTAGCGTTCTTTGGATATTTACTCCATTACTGCAAGTAATGCTGGTGTATTGGAAAACGAGCAGGCAGATAGACTGACCCGTTCTGCACCACTTCGTGGTGAACGAATATATGCCAAGCTAGATACTGTGAGGGCTATTTTGGAGCAAGTGAACAGTGTGGAGGCACAGACAGATGATTACGGTTTGAGGAGAATGGCGCTGCATGGAGTTACCAGGGGATCTGGCAGACGCTTAAAACTCAGGGGAAGGGCGAGACGCATATACAATCAGACAGTTACGAGCGCCATCGGAATTGCAACTCTTCGTTTGCTGCTGAAGATAGGGACGGAGGGGGAGGGGTGGGGGGGGTGGAGAGAGTGGTGTTCCGAGTGCTGTGATTTCGATTCTTAGTTTAACATTAAACATTTAAGACGAGCGTTTAGCTACAACCCTACCCGTTTGCCTATACACTCTTATTGCTAGAGACACTCGAGAATAGGGGAATCTACTGCAGACTATATTTGACCTAATATGGAACAACAGGATGATTGTGATCAACAGCCCGATTGAAAAAGGATTTGGCTGGAGTTCAAGGAAGTGCTCATTAAAAATTAAATTGAAGGTGGATCAATGAAGGAAGAGGCAAACTAGATAGACTGTCTCTGCAGCAAATGGATTTAAAGACCAAGATAGAAAGATGGTGGATTTTTCAAGCTCCTGAAATCTCAGTGCAGAAAATTACCACTAAAGCCCACGTATCGAACTGAGATTTCTAGTCTGCTGGGCCCAGGACAAAAACGTCATATCCGGCATTTTAAAATGACTAGATTAAATGGAGACGGATAAGTTGGCTGGTTGTAAACAAGGTGTTTTGTTATCGTCGGTGTTGTTGCTACTGAGGATGAGAATGATGATAATGATGATGTTGTTAGTTGTCGTCGTCGTTGCTGCTGCTGCTGCTTATGTTGTTGGTTTTCGTCGTCTTCTTCTTTTTCTCCTTCTTCTTCTTCTTCTTCTTCTTCTTCTTCTTCTTCTTCTTCTTCTTCTTCTTCTTCTTCTTCTTCTTCTTCTTCTTCTTCTTCTTCTTCTTCTTCTTCTTCTTCTTCTTCTTCTTCTTCTCCTCCTTTTTCTTCTTCTGCTTTTGTCTTCTTCTTCTTTTTTGTCTTCTTCTTCTTCTTCTTCTTCTTCTTCTTCTTTCTTCTTCTTCTTCTTCTTCTTCTTCTTCTTCTTCTTCTTCTTCTTCTTCTTCTTCTTCTTCTTCTTCTTCTTCTTCTTCTTCTTCTTCTCCTCCTCCTTCTTCTTCTTCTTCTTCTTCTTCTTCGCGCACACACACACACTCTCTCTCTCTTTCTTTCTCTCTCTCTCTCTCTCTCTCTCTCTCTCTCTCTCTCTCTCTCTCTCTCTCTCTCTCTTGTACCCCACCAGGACATCTCACAAGCGAGAAACACCCGGTGACACAAGGTGCCACCATACAGATGAGGATCACCCGTGGAGAGGTCCCAGAAACCAGAAACCCCTTTTAGCCGTTGTGCCATATTTATGGCCCGGATTTATTTAGGGCCCCCGGCAAAAGCCAAGGAGGGGCTTCAAATAACGAAAAATTGCATCCCACATGGAGACGACCGAAGAATAGGCAAATCTTCGTCTTCTGCTTTCGATCTTAAATGAGCGCACGGCACTTTGTATTGTGGCTAACATCTAGGTTGCGTTATCTGCCTATTTTAGCACAACACATACGATTTTAGCAAATCCCTAATTAGCCACAGCTTACAACATGCTTTTAATGGGGTACGCATGTTTAGCATATAAAGAGTTAATGTCAGCCTGCTTTAGAAAGCGATATATTAGCTTTAAATAAATACAGTTGTGTCTGGTAAACTGCAGTTACCGCCTGTATTTGCTACTTTTGCGGTGTAGACAAGGGGTTCTTTGAGCCTGAGGATTTCGGATTGCAAGACTAGTGCTGTCGCCGCGGACTGAAAACTAGGATTATATTTATGCCCTACTTTACAGGACGTTGCAGAACCAACCCCAACAGCCCCTGGTTGTTGTGTGGTTTTTTTAGGCAAATTTACGTCCAATAGTTTATGCCCTACTAATTCATTCATTCAGTAGCATGTCCCTCGCGGAACCTCGCTGCCATAACAACCCTCCGGAAAACCTTCCTATCATGAGCAAGATGTCCTGCGTCTGATACACCCATCTGGAGATCATCTGCCACATCCTGCACCCATCTTCTCCTTGGCATTCCTCTTCCTCTCTTCCCAGGCATATACCCCTCCATTATTGTTCTCTCTAGACTTCCATGACGTTTCAAGTGACCAAAATATTTTTCATTTTCTTTTGTTTTATTGTCTTTACTAGCCAACCCTCTTCAATATTCAGCTCTTGAAGTATGGATGCATTTGTTCTTTTCTTTACCCAAGATATTCTTAGAACCTGTCTGTAACATTTATATTCAAATGCATTTATGCGCTGTTCCGCTTGTTTAGTAAGTGTCCAGGTCTCACAGGCGTATGTTGCAATGGGAAAGATGCATGCTCTTAAAAATCTGACCTTTGTAATTCTATCTGTACAATTCCATAATTTATTCAGTTGTTTTAGTCTTTGAAGAGCAATTTTATGCCCTACTCCAGAACACAAATCAAAACTTTCCCGAGAATTCAAGCCCTTGTATCTTGCACGAGAGCCCTGCAAACTTAAATGTTCGACCAGCCGCTCTATTGTATGCCGTCTCCATAATGAAAGTTGGCTACAGTGTAACCACTGCTGACTGATTGATTGATAGACTGTGATTGATAGACTGACTGACTGCTTTGTACCTTTCTGTCTTTCCAGACAATAGAGTCATATTACGCTATGAGGAGGCATGGGGCTTACCGACCACGGCGAAGACGAGGGTGACTAGCAAGATCCGTCCGCGTTAAGAAAAATATTTCCACAATTATAAAATAAGATTTCAAGACCGTTGGTTGTCAACATTTGTGTTTAGTCTGTTTCTGATCACACGCTCAGCCCTCATCCTTTCTGCAATAATTTCTTCCTTTATTCGCATTCCCTTCCTGATGTGCCCGCTCCACACAACACGGCCCATGGCATTCTGTTTCCACTTGTTGCCACCACTACTATCGTTGGGAATATTACGGAATGAGGGTTCCTTTCTCTTCCTCGGGGTCATCCTTGTGACCTTGTCCGAAAACCAAGATAGCCTTTTTATTTTTTTTTTATTTAACACACACACACACACACACACACACACACACACACACACACACACACACAACTTTACGCTGTCGAAATTGAGCCCTGATTTTTGTTAAAGTTTGAAACCTTTATATCAAAGTTCCAACGATTGCCATCAAGCGATACCCAAGAGATCAACCAACAGATTATTCAGCAATGTCTTTGTCAGGAGCCCAGCGCCTTTGCATGGCCGTGATCATCGTCGGATTCATCGTCTCGTTGACAGGCTACGTGTCGCCATACTGGGAGTACATTAGTGTCGATGTAAGTTGATATTCATTTGTTCTGTTGCAGAAACTTGAGTATATTCTTTCGTTATCATTGATGACCAAAGCATTCTACATTCCTTTAAAATAAAAAAAGGAAAAAACTCATCATTCCCTTGTGATGTCATGTCGCGGAAACATTCACAATTATGATATAATGTCGCGGAAACATTCACCATTTCTTTATGTCATGTCACAGAAGCATTCACCATTTCTTTATGATATCATTTCGCGAAAACATTCACCATTTTTTATGATATCATGTCGCGGAAACATTCACAATTATGATATAATGTCGCGGAAACATTCACCATTTCTTTATGTCATGTCACAGAAGCATTCACCATTTCTTTATGATATCATTTCGCGAAAACATTCACCATTTTTTATGATATCATGTCGCGGAAACATTCACCATTCCCTTATGCTGTCAACTCGGGGAAGCATACACAATTTCTTTAAGATGGTGTGAGCATTCACCATTCCTTTCATGTTATGTCACAGCAACATTCACCATTCCTTTCATGTTATGTCACAGCAACATTCACCATTCCTTTTATGTTACGTCACAGCAACATTCACCATTCCTGTCAGGTTATGTCACAGCAACATTCACCATTCCTTTCATGTTATGCCACAGCAACATTCACCATTCCTGTCAGGTTATGTCACAGCAACATTCACCATTCCTGTCAGGTTATGTCACAGCAACATTCACCATTCCTTTCAGGTTATGTCACAGCAACATTCACCATTCCTTTCATGTTATGCCACAGCAACATTCACCATTCCTTTCATGTTATGCCACAGCAACATTCACCATTCCTTTCATGTTATGTCACAGCAACATTCACCATTCCTTTCATGTTATGTCACAGCAACATTCCCCATTCCTTTCATGTTATGTCACAGCAACATTCACCATTCCTTTCATGTTATGTCACAGCAACATTCCCATTCCTTTCATGTTATGTCACAGCAACATTCACAATTCCTTTGATGTTGATCAGCATGACCAGACTATGTATGGGAGACATTTATAATGTAGTAATTATAATCTAGTAACATATACGGACAGAAAGTAAGATAACTTCAAACCACAACTGGTTTAAAGCAATGGAATGCCATAACCAGCCTCTTCTCAACTTAGCCCATGAGACAAGTGTCAGGAACATAAAGACGATTGTATTATGGGAAAAACTACAAAAATATTCGACTGTGCCGATGATTTAGATACAGTTAGAGAAAATAAACTAGAGACAGTAAAAACACTGACTCACTTAATGAAAGGAAGCAGCTCACAAAATGGGACTAGTTATCAGTAAAGATAGGACTGGATAGAATGGTGATAACAACACAGTGACGGGAATTTTTTTTTTTTTTAAACTACGGCCATAAACAGATAGATAATATGAAAATCAAACGAAAGAAACATACATGTACTTTGGTACAAGTTTCAACTGCTTCGACAATTTTAAGTGGGGGAAAACTAGAATCTGGAAATAAAGTATACTACGCCCTACAAAACCGACGTTGTTCCAAAGCCTGGATAAGAAAGAAGCAGGTTTGGACGGAGAGCCATTTGCCCCAACCTCCTGAACGATAAATTTGCTATACGGACTTACAGAAACAAAGCTATTCCGGTGTACAAATAAGCAAAGAAGTGTGTGATGCACTGAGTACAGGAATGACGGTCACGGGTGAAAGCCGCCCTGCGGAAATCAGTGGCCAGACATGGATCCTGTTTGGCAAAAAAATAATCACTACATTTGTAGAAATGAGTGGTCGTGGTGTAGCGGCTAGACGCTCATCTGCGGATCGGAAGGTCATGGGTTCGCTCCATGGCAAAGCCGGACTTTTTTCAAAAATGACCTTGGCTCCCAGATCGACCCAGCCTTGAGTGGGTGCCGAGTGCAGTCCTGGGAAGTAAAAGCGGCCAGTGTGATGCTGACTACATCACCAATCTTGTGCCATTGGTCTAGCCCTATATACCCAATTCTACTCAAAGGCATCGAAAAGGGTCCTTTACTTAAATTTTTGGAATATTAGGGCTATAACATGAATTTACCAGGAGCAGTTCGCTACATGCAATGTTTTGTACAGGCTAAATATCCTTCTCCAGGTGTGGTTGAGGCTAACATGAATGTATATACCAGGAGCAGTTAGCCTTCCTCAGGGTCTCAGCGAAGCTAATTAGCCTGTGCCAAATCTTGGATGTGGCTAACTGCTTCTGGTACACAAAGTCATGTTAGTCTCAACCACACCTTGGAGGTGGCTAACTGCTCTTGATATAAATGTCATGTTAGCTTCAACCACATCTTGGATGTGGCTAACTGTTTCTGGTATATATAGTCATGTTAGCTTCAACCACACCTTGGAGGTGGCTAACTGCTTCTGGTATATAAAGTCATGTTAGCTTCAACCACACCTTGGAGGTGGCTAACTGCTTCTGGTATATAAAGTCATGTTTGCTTCAACCACACCTTGGAGGTGATTAACTGCTTCTGGTATATAAAGTCATGTTAGCTTCAACCACACCTTGGAGGTGGCTATTTAGCCTCCACAAATTCTGTTAAAAAGGAAACGGGGGAGGGGGAGGGGGCTACTGGCTTGCACCATTTTTGTTAGAGCCCCAATGGAGCCGTTGACTGCATAAGTAGTAAGGCTTCCATCGATCGAGCATAAACATGATTTAACATTTAAAACATACTGACCAAAATTGTCCAGAAATATGCCATCTTGTCTTTTACTTTGAATCTTAGCCTCAGGAGCTGCTCCTAATTTTCACAGGATCCGCCTCATGGTATACTACTCACGCCTCGCCCCAGTGCTAAAGAACATCTGCTGATATCTTATGTTCTATTTCGTAACACCGCGATCGCAGTAAATAAAAAGCCGATACGGCTTTGTGTGGCTCTGAAAACCGGAGAAAAACTATAAGCAATGAAGCCTTCATAAAAAATAAGAAATTGTTAAACAGTCTTTGGACCAATAAAACGTAGGAACAGCGAGAAATGGAGAGGGAGAAGCAACAACTAAATTCATAATCAGGTCCTGTTCACGTTTACCGGCCCATCTACACACTGACCTTTCATTCATACGTTCTCAGACTCTTCTACATCAGAGGGATGTCACGTTGTCTTGCGTCCAATATATCAGCGCCGATGTCGCGTGTTCTATACTGCACGACGACACAGCTTTCAACAACACCAGAACATCTAGAACTGGCCATACCCCAAACCCCTCTACCCACAGCCTAAGCCTAGGTCACACGAGAAACTCTTTTCGAAGAAAGCAGTACAACATGACACCCATCTGACCTAGATCAGACTGATAAAGTGTGAAGATGGACCGAGAAACGTGAACAGGTCCAAAAATAAATTAAAATCCCCTCTGATCCCTGGTAGCATGACGGCTAATAGGCCCACATGCCTGTGTCATATAAAGAGAATGGTAGACGACAGAGAGGTGACAACTGTGTACAGAAGGGAGCTGAATTGCCGCAGACCACGAGACAGACCATGAAGATGTTGGAGAGAGAGAGAGATAGGGGGGGGGAGTACCCATGTAGACCTACAAACACCTGGAGTCACCAGGTAAAAATTACCATGTGACTTCGGGGCTTCCTGGTGGGGCAACAAGAATAGACTCACTGCCTCCCTTCCCCTCCCCCACCCCCGCTTTTCCTATAAAGCATGTCATATAAGTCGACTAATTACGAGTGTTTCTTTCGACGACGAAGTGCAACTGCCTCAGAGGCGACAAATCTAACGCCTGCGAAAAAGCCAGTTTTTTAAAACGGACGTGCACGCAGAACTCAAGTTCTAGAACTAAAATAATTTCCAGAAGTGAACGAACAACCATAACTCTTTGACTGCAGTTTACATCTGATGAATGTGAAGAAGTAGTAGAAGATCAACTAGAAAGAGCTGGCCAACCACAGAGATGTATGTTGAAGCGAGTGATATCTGCAGTAAAGAGCTTGGAACGCTGAAGAAGAATTACTATCTATCCAGTATGTTCTGTTATATGAAACATTCAATGTTTCCTTCAAATGTTCGACAAACAAACATTATACTTTTAAAATGTCATGTTACAGAAAAAGTCTTCAATTCTACAACTTATGAAACATTTACTATTCCCGTGGTATATTATGTTACAAAACCTTGTTTTTTTTTTTTTTTTTTTTTTTTTTCAACATCATTTTCTGTTTTCTGTTAGAGAAATACAGCATTCAATATTTATACAATTTGTGCAGTTAAAAAAAACACACACAGTATCACTTTCTTAACACCAGTGTGCTTAAGGATAACATTTGGTGAACATGAACAAAGTTAGGGTTCACTGCGGATATATTATTGTTATTCGTCCCCGGTTGGCAACTCAATTTTCCATCCATTGGAAGTCACGTAGCGAGGTTTCAATATATAATCATTCCCACAGTTTGTTCTTTAAAGTAATTGTGATAATTCCGACAATATATTATGTCAAAGAAGCATTATCTACTCTGTTTATATGTTATGTCACAGCAACATTCTCTCCTTCAACAATATGCTTTATGGTAGAAAGATTTATTTTATATAGAAAGCAAATCTGCACAAACATTTATGTTCATTAGGCAAATCGCAACAATATGCTTTTCCACATATACAGGCTGTAGGTGGCAGTATGACCAGTGAACTCGGATTGATATTCGGATGCTACTCAATCACAATCACAACTCAAACAGTCTCGGAATGCGACGTGATTGCCTGGGATGCAGCGGCTGGTGATAACAGCAACACTTACTTCAAAGCCGTTCGAATTCTGATGGGCGTGTCTCTCTTCTTCGGCCTCTGCAGTTCCTTAGCTGGTCTGGTTTTATGCTGCAGAACAAATACCCCCTCAGTTCTGAACGCCAGCGTCTTTGCTCTGGGAGCTGGGATTGCAGGAATTGCTGGGGTCGCCACCTTTGCTATATGCTCCAAAGGGGATATCAAGACATTGCCCGTTGCAATTCAGCAACACCTGCTGAAAGGCTGGTCGTTCTACATGAGCGCAGCAGGAGCTGGGTTAATGGCTCTTTTTGGAATTCTAACTCCGCTGGTTCCAAAACAGAAGCAACAGTATATTTCCAGTACAGTACAAGGGAACCAGATGACTCCGACCAAGGGATATGGCAGATTCTACTAAATACAGCAATACCTTTGGCACAACAGAGATAGGAAGCACAGTAGATTATATAGTTATTACTACATAATATTTTTTACAGCCATTACAATTAATGTTATTAAAGTAAATGCATATGTATTTATTATCTAGTGAGGTCGCATATATATATATACACAATTGTTTTTAAAACCGGTAACCATTAGCACACACTGCAGTACGACTTAGCTATGTGAACAGTTATTTAAGGTGGTGCAGCATATCAAAATGGATTTGTTTAGGGAGGGGGTAAGGGGGGGGGGGCAGGGGAACACACACATACACAGAAGAGGATTAATGAAGTTGTTGGCGTCTCTGCTTTTTGTCCTTGAAAAGTTTATGGGTTAAAAACAGGTTTTTGCTTTTCATTCTTTTTTGAGGTACGCAACGGTGCACAGTACCAGCACGTTTGTATGCATCATGTTGTCAGCACCACCGTAATAAACACTTTGTGGAGAGTACCGACGTTTTTTTCTTTCTGATACACAGAAAGCCTGGTTAAAACTATACTTTACCATCCTTGCTAGACGGCGTCCCGGTAAATGTCTATGCACAGACATAATTCTTTATGTTCTTTTTTCAATTCAATTGATGATTATGACACGCGAAATTAACATTTGTCCGGTTAGTTAGTTAGTCTTTCCTCTTGTGTCGAGTGCGGCACATAGGGCAGAGGTCATGACTCTCCATGCATGGCGGTTCGTTGCAATCTGTTGTAGGTCTTGGATGTTTGAGTGGCCCATGAGCGAGCCTTCCCTGATGATAGTTCTACGTAGGGTTTCCCTTGGTCTTCCACGAGATCTTTTCCCCTGTGGTGTCCAAATGAGGGCTTGCTTGGTAAGGAAGTCTTGATTTATCCATTCTAAGGGCGTGGCCGACATAGTTCCAGCGGCGTTTTCGTATAAAATTAGACACATACTCTTGCCTGGATTCTTGCCTTATTTGTGTATTGGTTTTGTCCGGTATCGAAAGTATATTCAGGCTGTTACCTAAAGGTGAACAGAGCAGAAGAAACTATTTGGCATATATTTCATGGTGCGGGAAAATCTTATGGGGGGGAAAAAAGGTTGTCCTCATTTGGGGCGAAAGTTTTCGTTACTTGGAAGCCCCACCCTTGCTTTTGCCTCAGTGGTTGGGGTGGGGGGGGGGAGGGTTATATAACCTAAAGTTTGAACGCAGTTTCTAGGAGTTCTCGACGGGTGATCCTCATCCGCATAGTGGATCTTTGTGTCGCCGGGTGTTTAACGCTCCGTGTGGTGTCCTGATGGGGTATAATTAATTTACCAAAAGTTTTATGGAAGAAAAGTTAAAAACCATTGTGTCAAGGCAAGACTAGAAGCTAACACTTAACTATGCTTAGACTGTTGTATTCTTTCAGGGATCATAATCGATAACAATTGCATTCACCAATTAACTAAAAATAAAAGTATGCTGCAACATGTCTTCTGTGTATTTATGGTTGGATTTGATGAAAGGATCGTCTGAGTTCAAACACAAATGGCAATTGGTGTGTAACGTGCAATCTGTGGTTGGTTGTATATACATACGAACGTGCTACTAGCTAACTTGCAATCCACAAGTGCTCTTTTTAACTTGAAATATGTAGCTGGTGGGAGTCGCCGTGGCCGAGTGGTTAGACGCTCGCCGCGGATCGGAAGGTCGTGGGTTCGCTCCCTGGCGGAGCCGGACTTTTTTCAAAAATGACCTTGGCTCCCATGTCGACCCAACCTTGAGTGGGTACCGGGTGCAGTCCCGGGAAAGTAAAGGCGGCCGGCGTGATACTGACCACATCACACATCTTGTGCCGATTTGTCTATAAAAATATAGGTCTAGCCCGATATGCCCTATACGCCTGGTGGCGTGGAAAAGGGTGCTTTACTTTTTTTTACTTACTTATGTAGCTGGTAACGTACAGTCTGTAAATGGCTTTCAACTTGTAATATGAACATGGTATTGTTTTTTAATTTGCAACCCGTAACCGATTATGTTAACAGTCAAATCTGACCGGTAACTATTTTTACAGGATAACGTAACTGTGGAAGAATATCGAGTTGGTCTGATCTTTGGGTGCTATACACGAAGAACGCCCATTGGAACCACAAGCAACTGTCAAGTTATTGACTGGGACAACGCAGTTGACGAAATGATCTTTTTCAAGGCTGTTCGACTGCTAGCCGTGACTTCTCTCCTCTTTTACACCAGCAGCTGTGTTGTAGCAGCCATCTCCTGCTGCAACTGTCGGAAAATTACTTCTGTTGTCTACTTCAGTTCCCTGGCAATCATGGGAGGACTGACCGGTGTTGCTGCAGGAGCCACCTTTGCAGCGTTTTCTGAAGGTAACACGGATTTCATTGAAGAACTTAAAAAACCAGGAGTGCATCTACACAAGGGGTGGGCTTTTTATCTGAGTACATCCGGAAGTTGTGCGGTGCTCCTCCTTGGAATTTTATCTCTAAACGCCCCCAAAAAGCGCACGATGTACGTGTTTACAGCCACAAATGAAAGTACCAGATTCTCTAACTCGGGATACCAGCGATTCAAATAAACACTTTGCTGACCGTTGAATGTATTTTGTACTTTAATTGTATACGACCACATCTCGTAGAGATTTCGTAGGGAATTCCTTAGGATCTATAAATATTTCACTGGACAGTACCATATTATAGGAGGAGGGGGTTAGGGTTGAGACTAGCGTTAAATAAAAATCGACTACTACTAAGTCTAACCATAACAACCCCAATATTATGGGGTGTTCTGAGAATTTCCCTACCAAATCTCGAAGCCAACGAGATGTGGTCGTATAAAATTAAAGGACCTTATGTCCTTACTATTTGCCTGTATATACTTTGTCAGGGCAGTGTAGGGCAAGGGGAGGCAAAGCCTGAGGTTTTATGGCAGCATAGCTACCGTATTTCCCCGAAATAAGACCGGGTCTTATATAAATTGTTGCTTCAAATTATACACTATGGCAGTGGTTCTCAAACGGGGGGCCGCGAGCGTATGCAAGGGGGCCGCGAGCGTATGCAAAGGGTGCCAGGAGCGTATGCAAGGGGTGCCAAGAGCGTATGCAAGGGGGGCCGCGAGAGTATGCAAGGGGTGCCACGAGCGTATGCAAGGGGTGCCAGGAGCGTATGCAAGGGGTGCCGCGAGAGTATGCAAGGGGTGCCGCGAGCGTATGCAAGGGGTGCCGTGAGCGTATGCAAACGGGGCCGCGAGCGTATGCAAACGGGGCCGCGAGCGTATGCAAGGGGTGCCACGAGCGTATGAAAGGGGTGTCACGAGCGTATGCAAGGGGTGCCGCGAGAGTATGCAAGGGAGCCGAGAGCGTATGCAAGGGGTGCCGCGGCCATAGTCAAGAATTTTTCAAAATCTGCTTGAGATCAGCGAAGACAACAATTTAAAATTGAAATACCGCGAAGGAAGCCAAGAAGAGTTCTGGATGCATGTGTATTCAGAAGACACTGCTATTCTCAAGGCTGCAGTGCATTCTCAACGTACGCATACTTAAACACACACACACACACACACACACACACACACAGAGGGTAAAATTAACTAAGCTTTCCATAAACATAAAGAAAATAATAAAGAATTCACCCAAACAGTTTCGTTCATCGCATTGAAGACAAGTAAATATTAAATGTGCAATGTTTTTTTTCCCCTTCTTTTCCTAAGTTTTTAAACCGCTCTAAGGGCAGGTGTGCCGTGAATGTTTTTTTGTTGTTGTTGTTGTCCGACAAGGGTGCCGCGGCGAAAAAACAGTTTGAGAACCGATACACTAGGGCTTATGTTCAGGGAATGTAGGTTTTCCATACACATAATTCTACATTTACTTAAATACACTCATGTCGTGTTTTTTTTTTTTTTTTTTTTTTTTTTTGGTGGTGGGGGGGAAGGGGGGGGGGGGGGGGGGTGCATCGCCATATTTCTCCAAATGCCGAATTCCGGCTTGAATTTCCAGTGACTTGATTTCCTTCAGAACCATAGGTCCTTGTCACTTGTGTCCAGTAATACAGCTGTTCTGAAAATGAGCATTTCTTGCCTAAATAGTCTGATCTGTGTGCATTGGTAAAACAGCTGCCGGTGGTCGATCTTATCTAGGTCCTATTTTTGGGGTTGGGCCTATATTAAAACCTTCATGAAAGGATCGAGCTAGAACTTTTTTTGGGGATGGGGGGGGGGGGGGTAGGGGCTGCTAGTTGTTAGGAGTTGTTTATTTTAAGAGACTGATTTGTATTGGGGTCCCAGACACCAACTCCCCCCCCCTTCACTCCAATTCTTGTTAACAGTGCTTGGGCGCAGGGACCCACGGGGAAGGGGAGGAGGGGGGGGGCTCAGATTCTCTGACCCTCAGTGGTCAACATTGCTTAGCCCATGGGCCACATTGAGCCTTAATGACCAACAGTGCTTAGCCCATAGGCCACATGGAGCCTTAACGACCAACAGTGCTTAGCCCATAGGCCACATGGAGCCTTGATGACCAACAGTGCTTAGCCCATAGGCCACATTGAGCCTTAGTGACCAACAGTGCTTATCCCATAGACGCGGAGACCAGGGGAAAGAAGGGAGTTAGGGAAGCTCAGATTTCTTGAGCCTCGCTCCTCCCCTCCCCCGAATGGATTTAGAGGGTTAGATTGCCCCCACCACTCCTCCCCTCCCCAATACCTGTTTTTTTTTTTAAGGTTGAAAGGAGACTAAAGAATTCCCCTTTACTAGTGCATCCTTCTACTTTTCTACTTCTTTATATGAGTGCCAATCAATACATGGTTTGTTTGTGAATCATTCAAATAAATTAGATTTAAAAGTATTCGTTCATCCAAAGATGTAAATGCGTTGCGCCCCTTTACAACATGGCCTTTGGCCGACACATCCAACTTCTGCAGGCATTTGTTGATCGGGTAAACCTTTCCGAATAAATTCGATATTATTTCAAGTATAGTATATTATGTATTTTGCTATTCAGCACATTAATAATAATAATAATAATAATAATAATAATAATAATAATAATAATAATAATAATAATAATAATAATAATAATAATAATAATAATAATAATAACAATAATAATGTTCTGAATGACAAAATTAATATAATAAAATATTTGAAGTAATAGGAAATGTATTTAGAAAATGCTTCAACATACAGTTTATATGCATGGTTAAAATGGGCTCCCTCAAAACGATCTTGGAACTGGGGAGGGACGGGTCGCATAGCTATTTAGATAACCGCTGCTTTCAGAGCACTAGCCTGGGCAGTTGAATTTGCTGTTATACAAGCAGTAATCGTTTCAGACTATATGAACATGTTTCAGAAAAACAGCAATAGATAGTAAACGCTACTGAGTGGGTAGAAAGCATAGTGAAAGAGGGAATGAACGAGCGGATTGGCTTGCTGGCAGTGCTACGGTAGGTACAGAAAAAGCAATATACCGTCATGCCGATATGCCGACATTCTCAATGCTCTCAAGGAAGCAGGACGAGAATCGGATTCAGGAGACGACGCTCAAACGGCTACACTCAAAAGACTACAAGAGCTTCACCTCAAAAGAGATGTCGCCAAACAGAAAGACTACACGGGTAGTGTAGAATAGTAAAACAACACATATCTATTGTTTCAGTCGCCACTTGCTGAGGGATATGCTGAAGATGGGATCCGAGCGCTGACGGACTTGTCCGATAGGCAGTGAGGATATTCTGTCGATTAACGAACTAACATTGTGAAAAATCTGTCGATTAACTAACTAACATTGTGAAAAATCTGTCGATTAACTAACATTGTGAAAAATCTGTCGATTAACTAACTAACATTGTTAAAAATCTGTCGATTACCTAACTAACATTGAGAAATCGACCAGGGAATGGACGGTGTAAAAAGTAATGAATAAGCGGACCAACTGGCAAGCATTGCACACCGCATGTAGGTAGTAACATGGACACAGCCGCCATCATCACTGCTGCACGCAATGTTTTTCTACATGTTACTGTCAATTAACTAACTAACATTGTGAAAAATCTGTCGATTAACTAACTAACATTGTGAAAAATCTGTCGATTAACAAACTAACATTGTGAAAAATCTGTCGATTAACGAACTAACATTGTGAAAAATCTGTCGATTAACAAACTAACATTGTGAAAAATCTGTCGATTAACGAACTAACATTGTGAAAAATCTGTCGATTAACTAACTAACATTGTGAAAAATCTGTCGATTAACGACCTAACATTGTGAAAAAATCTGTCGTTTAACTAACATTGTGAAAAATCTGTCGATTAACTAACTAACATTGTGAAAAATCTGTCGATTAACTAACTAACATTGTGAAAAATCTGTCGATTAACTAACTAACATTGTGAAAAATCTGTCGATTAACTAACATTGTGAAAAATCTGTCGATTTACTAACATTGTAAAAAATATGTCGATTAACTAACTAACATTGTGAAAAATCTGTCGATTAACTAACTAACATTGTGAAAAATCTGTCGATTAACTAACTAACATTGTGAAAAAATCTGTCGATTAACTAACATTGTGAAAAATCTGTCGATTTACTAACATTGTAAAAAAATATGTCGATTAACTAACTAACATTGTGAAAAATCTGCCGAATAACTAACTAACATTGTGAAAAATCTGTCGATTAACAAACTAAAATTGTGAAAAAATCTGTCGATTAACTAACATTGTGAAAAATCTGTCGATTTACTAACATTGTAAAAAATCTGTCCACTAACTAACTAACATTGTGAAAAATCTGTCGATTAACTAACTAACATTATGAAAAATCTGTCGATTAACTAACTAACATTGTTAAAAATCTGTCGATTACCTAACTAACATTGAGAAATCGACCAGGGAATGGACGGTGTAAAAAGTAATGAATAAGCGGACCAACTGGCAAGCATTGCACACCGCATGTAGGTAGTAACATGGACACAGCCGCCATCATCACTGCTGCACGCAATGTTTTTCTACATGTTACTGAATGAATGTTTCTCTATAGGTTACTGAATGAATGTTTCTCTATAGGTTACTGAATGAAAGTGTTCTCTACATGTTACTGAATGAATGTTTCTCTACATGTTACTGAATGAATGTTTCTCTACATGTTACTGAATGAATGTTTCTCTACATGTTACTGAATTAATGTTTCTCTACATGTTACTGAATGAATGTTTCTCTACATGTTACTGAATGAATGTTTCTCTACATGTTACTGAATGAATGTTTCTCTACATGTTACTGAATGAATGTTTCTCTACATGTTACTGAATGAATGTTTCTCTACATGTTACTGAATGAATGTTTCTCTACATGTTACTGAATGAATGTTTCTCTACATGTTACTGAATGAATGTTTCTCTACATGTTACTGAATGAATGTTTCTCTACATGTTACTGAATGAATGTTTCTCTACATGTTACTGAATGAATGTTTCTCTACATGTTACTGAATGAATGTTTCTCTACGTGTTACTGAATGAATGTTTCTCTACATGTTACTGAATGAATGTTTCTCTACATGTTACTGAATGAATGT